CCGACCACCAACCTTACCCCACAACCCTAACCCCTAACCTCAACTCCAACCCCCAAACTTCACCCCTAACCCTGACACCTAACCACAGTCCCTAACCCTAACCTCTAACAGATACGGCTACCAAATAGGATCTGCCTAACCTACGAGCTACCTTGACACTTTACCGTGAATCATTTTATTCTAGTGAATAGATTCGAGAATAAAGTTTTCGACACAGGACTGAAAGAAATCAGCATGCAACTTGTGTGGCAGCTGCCAGCCAGCCTTCCGTTCCGCGTCAGACTTGTCGGGCCAGAGGGTTGAACAGCAGCACGAACAGGCGAGGAGAGCCGATTCAGTTGATTGACTGTTGGCATCATGGTGTCGCCGTGCCTCGGAGTGCCGAGATGCAATGTGCAGTAGGGGCATCCGGAGGAGACGCTGTGGCAGGCAGCGGAGATCGGCAGGACCCATACGTCGGAGCTCCTTTGTCTCAACGTAGGCAGGCCAACTATCCCGCATGTACGCTCTACCATAGACAGCCTGCAGCGGAAGACGACGGCTGTCTGGCAAGAAGTCCACCGAACCGGGGGTGCCTCCCATAATCTGACCAGCATTCCCCGATCCGTCCTCTGCGCCAATATCTTCCTCCAGCTCCCAGACCACCAAGCCCTCAATCGAGTCTGAATGCATGGATTAGGTTTCCTTCATATGTCTGCGTACAATAAGCAGGTAGCAAATGGAAAAGACTTGGAAGTAGCATGCTGATCACACACACCCCAAAATAATGAGAGCATTTCACTGTCCGAGCCGGTCAGCAGACTGGAGTGGGAATTTGCGCGGTGGCTGGCATGGTCGACTGGCCATGCCTGCGTGCGCCACGTGTACAATCTGGCCCCCCATACAAACGCATACACCAGGATTTCACACAACGGGGGTTGAACGGCGTGGCTCTCACTTGCGTGAGAAGGCCGTGGAAGGTGCTGTTTCAGCCCGTCTTCCAACCCAGCCCACCAGTCCGCCACTCCATGCAACACAACACACACACACACACAAACACACACACACACACACACACATAGCATTTCACATCATCCCGCCTTCATGTTCGGGAGAAATTAATTGTCTAGGCGGGCATTCAGTGACCCATTGAAGTGAAAAATTGGTAGCTTGGTGGGACACCTCGGTCCCTCCCAGAACGGAAGGTCAGGCTGAAAGGGCTGCTTCCTGATGTGTCCTTTCAGGTATTCTCAGTGGTCTGTGGTAAATCGGAACTAGTTTCGTTTCATTCACCGCGCGTAGTGTGCGTGTGTGAGTGTGTCTAGGGAGTAGAGGTCATGAAATCATGACGCCAGGCAACGGGTCATTTGACATACTGTCACTGTCAGCGTCCACAATAAGTGCATTCTAGAACAAATAAGCAGATGTGCCAGCAGCAGAATTGTCCAATCAAAATGTAACTAACCGTCAGTATTCAATTCCGATGCTGCCCAGATGGCTGACTGAGCGCCCTCTGACCAGCCCACGCAGGAGAAGGGCAGATGACCCAGCTGGCGCATCAAGTTCACGCCAACTCTAGCATCCTGCAGCAGGATCTGCGGATCACTCCAATCGCGGTCGGGGGGAATGCTGAAACCGCAGCCCGGCGGATCGAAGGCTATCGCGGTAAAGCTAAAGGGGGTGGGCGGAGGGGGGAAGACGGACAAAAGTGCTTTGTGAGCAGGCTGCGGAAGGCGTTTCTGCCGTGCATGGTTTACGCGAATGGGCACACGGCACTAAAGGGTTGTCCTGTAGTAACCATCTATAGGCTAACTCCGTGGCGTAGGATATTTGCAGTAGTATGGCGGGCAGACCAGCCCCTAGTACAACCTGCTACTATTCCCACATTCAAAACTCTCCCTCGTGTCCACCACGAAGGCCAAATGGATGCATGTTGCTCAGGCCGACTTCAAACACATCCTCCTTCGGGAGTGGCGCTATTGATTCGTTCTCGCAGTGTTTCGTTTGCCGGTGCCTGTTCCCTATTTCTGCTGACAAAGTCAACAGTCATTTGACTGTCACGCCTCCAGTACTTGACGTGAAATTGGATCACCCACTGGGCACAAGATCGATACGCGACCGAAAGCGAATTTGCGCCTTCGAGAGGTGGAGTGATTGTTCATCACAGGCAGTACGACTACTCTACACATATGCGCGTGTGTCTATGATGAAAATAAGGTGTCTTACGGGGAAAATGGTGTAAACGGTGTGACCTAGCTGATGCAAGATGCCGAAATTTACAAAAGACTGCTAATTACTCGCTAACCGACACCAATCCATGTATCCTATGTCTATATTAATCAAACATAAGGGTAGATTGCTTAGAAACATGGATTTTTTGAGAAATGCAAAAAATGCCGAAAAAGTCAATGATGGGTGCAATTGTGTAAAATCCAGTTCTAGATGTACGGAATGTCTGTTCATACAGAAAACGAGTAAATTAAGCAGTACTTGAAAACTAAGGTCTGAAAGTGGTCTTTTAGCTAATTTCACATTTAAATATCCTTTAAGCGGATTTCACTTGAATTCGCCAACGGGGATGCCATGGGAATAACAGTTTTCATAAGAGCACATGTTGTCAGGACTTTTCTTCCCTAAAACTAATTCGGACGTCTTGTTTGTTCTAGATTACACTGAATTTCAGATCAGCCTTGAGACATCCCTGCATACCTTGAAATGTGCAGTGTTCTGCATGGATTGCATATAAAGACAGACTCTGTGTTATGTGTTTACATGCTTTCGATCACTCAGAACACTGATATTTTGCCGATGATTTTCTCCTTCTATTTCTAAATTACGCATGCGCAGAAATTAGACCGCGCGACAATCAATATTTCATATGTTCCAAACTGAACATGACTATTCGGTGAGAGTCGTTTTGGTGTCAAAACATAGAGTTCATCAAATGACAAAACGATGTCGGCCCTTTCAAACAACCCATTCCCCCTATGCATCATTACTGCACTTTAGGGGACGAAAACGCACAGACCTGCTAATCTGACCTTTAACAATCGATAAAACATTTGACTCTCTAAAATAACGCCTGTGACAGCAAACTGATTCCCATAGCTAGAATCAGGCAAAAAATCACTTTTCAAGTGTGACAACCTCCCTCTCTCTCTCTAGTAAAACTCTCCAGAGTAAATTATTTGCCATTGAAAAAAAAGACGTTGTCTGCAAGATCCCATGTGCCAGTTTTGATGCCGTCTATTGATGCCGAACTGGGAAACCTGTCTGAAACCCTATAGATGAACGTCATTTAGCGGTGATGAGGAGTGGGGGGCCATCTTGCCCATGGGAGAACACTCTTATAGTTTTCATCCTTCTACCAATTAGGATGCGCTGTCAATTCCTGAAGTAATTCAGTCAACTGTGCCCTGCATCAATCGGCATCTCGGTTGAGATGCCACTCACAAATTCCTCAGGGACAAATGAAAGCCAGTGTAGCCAATGTCGAGGGCATGAAGAAATGCAATTGACGTGCAATGGCGCAAGCTTCAGCCAACTGCAGAATCACTTCTTCAACAGGGTTAAAGGGTGAACTGTTTTTGTGTGTGTCCCATAAGTCTGACAATGAGCTGGGGAACCTGTATCAAAAATGTGCGCGCAATAAGGGTTATTGTGTGTCCAGATATTCTGGCCTACTGTAAACGAAGATGTTCTCATAGGCCGCGTGCAGTCATCACAGACGTTGACGTTTCTCCTTCCTTGCGTGTGTATATGTTCATGCTGAAGAAGTCATTTGAGGAAACAACAAACTTTGTTTCGGATATTTTAAAACTTATTGCCCTTGGTCGACGTTGTCGTCGTCGTCGTCGTCGCCGTCAGACGTACAACTGGTGGGCGAGTTCGCAAAATTTTAAAACGTGACGTCCGAGAGAACCTCTCCAGACTACACGCATGCATGAATTACAGTAGGTGGACTAACTGATGCAATGTCAACAGGAATTTCGAAATGCGTTTTCGTTTCGAAAAGATTAATTAAGTAGGGTTGTAAAACTAGCTAGTCTGCAACATGATAGTTCAGTCACCTCAGGCTGCCGACTTTCGAATGAACTTCCTTCCGGTTGCATACAAAAACTGCACTCTGTAAACAATGACTAAATACTTTGCATAAAATTTTCTCATTGACTTTCGATGCCCCGAATAGTCCCATTGTATTTCACGGAAAACATGCACAAAAATATTCATTCTTCTGCTCATTCGGTAGATAATTACGCCTTTTTCTAATTTGATACTCGAGGGAAAGGTATAATTCCGTTTTCAACGATATTAAAAGTCCAACAATTAGAAACTTTTTTAAAACCGAATTATACTCTTCCTTCGAGCATAAATTTAGTAGATTTCTGTCCCATATCCAGAGCATGTATGAATAATCGGGACAGATGTTCTCCCTGCCGTATCCTTCATTGATGATCATAACTGTGTGTGTAGTGGCAGATTTGCTAGTTTCGTCACAACATCCTGCATTGCAGACACCACAATGACTGTTGTATACGAATATTCACGCTTACCAAACTGGTCTACCCAATCTTGAGGGTGTACCAACAGCGTACATAGTGTAGTCGTCGGCTACTGGGCCACTTCTATATGATGTATCCTAGTGCCACTTTCTACACCTATCTCCGTCTATATCTACACCAGTTGGTCAAAACAGAGAGTGCCAAGCAGCCCCAGGGAACGTACTCGTTTAGGTTCAGACGCTGCAGGAAGTCCATGTAATCAGTCCTGATGGAGCCGAATGGACCGGGAAATAGGAGGATATTGTTGGCTCCTCGGCCATGACGAAGATAGTGGATCTGCATGGAAAGAACCTCCTCGTAGGCACCAAATATGTGGTTGATGTTGTCATCCCTGAGGTTAATTGGAGAGGAGGTAGGAGATGCGACATTGCTGAAACTGCCGACGAAAGGACGCAGTAGTCGACCACAGACAAGCAGTCCCCTGCGTCCAATAATACGATTGAGCATAAACATGCAATTTCTACAATGATTCAAAGAGAAGAAAATGTCGTTAGATATTGTAAATTGCAAACCACCGACACATAAGTCACTAGTGCAGCATAAATGCAGATATGTGTGTGCAATTTACCCGGAATGACGGGAGGCATCGGCCTGTAATACTACTTAAATATGATGACAATATCAGTAAAGACATGCCCGTGATTTGCCATACTTCCTTCCATGCAGGACGCAGCGCATAGCCTTGCACAACAAATGCGGTGAGATGGATGCAAGGAGCAGTGTCACGTCGAAGAACATTATCGCCTCGTAAAGCAAAATTTTGGCTCGCGGGAATAAGTGAGGAGTGGAGATGTCGATTTTACTGACGTCCCAGATGAACCTCAAAGAAGATGTGGGGTTTGTGAGTCATCCGGCTGACTGGGCTGCCGCCGAGGGCTACGATTAGTCGAGGTGAAAGGTGGGATTTGTGGTAATCCCTAGCATCTGCCTGACGCCCTGCCGGTTGCTTCTATTTATTGTCATTCGCCCTGCCCATACCTGCACTGAGTCAGAAGAAGACCATTTAACTGACTGATAACTAACCTGTCCTGCTACGGTGGCGGAGGCTGTAGCGGAGATGTTGTGTGGTAGGACAATCAGCGGTTTAGGCGAGATTGTGTGCTTGTGGCAGTCCGTTCTCCTAGTCGTCAGTCTGGTTATGCCCTCATGACGCCTTCTGTCAGCCTAAGTAACACCTCCTGCCAATGGGATGCTGTTTGCAACACACGTGACTTGGCTACGTCGTGGAGACAGCTCGACGCCAATCGACGTTGTGTCATTTTCTGATCGGGATTGTCGGCGGACAAAGGTTATGTGTGCACGCACGCACGCACGCACCGCCCTCTGCGTGGCGCTCAGGTGAACGGATGTCGTGATGTGAGGCCGGCGATACCATACCACCACATCTCTCCTCACCAGCATCTACTCTAAGCAGGACCACACTCGACATCACACGACGAAAGCACGTGGTTGGCACATCTCTCCTCGTAAGTGGCAAGTTTTTTCCTGCTACTACTCCCTGTGGCCCCTCCGCTGCATGTGTGATCGGAGCCTGAGACTGTCAGGGTACGTTGATGATAATGTTGACAGGTAAGACTGCCAACTGCCGATGGAACTCAAGCCTTGCATTCAGCCAAACGTGCGTTTGTGCGCAGTGGCAGACTGGTGGACTGAGAGTCGGACTGCAATGCCTCCTTCTCGACGTGACCTCTGACACTTTCACACCCACACACCCACCCACCCACCAACCGACACACACACATACGCATGAAATGCATGTCGCCAAACTCCCCCTCCCCATGTGTGACATCCTGGTGCTTATGTCTGGGGGGGGGGAGGAGGAATGGGTCAGGTCTCGTGTGTGCAACGCCCAGACTAAGTGACTAGATCTGTCAGTCACTGCGTCCACTCCCACCTGGCCAGCTCGGAGTGCGATTGAGACTGAGGGAGTAAGATAATCCTGGTCTCAGCACATATTCCTTTTTATAAACTATCTGACGAACTTGAAAGTATCATGTTGCGCTATAAAGCCGTGGCATGGAGAATTGACAACTGACTGGATAACTCACAGCCAAACAGGTGTTGTGCGTCTGTGCGGAGAGGCCGACTGATGGGCTGGGAGTGAGGCTGAAATGGCTCCTTGTTAACACGGCATCTATGGCACTGTCACTCCGTGGGACCCGATTCGGGTGTAGTGGGTAAGCCGGGGTGCGGATGTTGGTCGTGTCAACCATCTGCGCCCTCTCCCACCTCCGGTCTTCTTGACTGTTTCATGAAAAATGGGCCCGATCAGGTGTGGCTATGTAGCTCCACCCGAAGTAAACCAACCCCAGCCATCTGTAATACGAGACCGCTGGTAGGGTCATTACCCTTCCTACCTAATTTAGGTCTACTACCGTACCGAGTGTCAAACTTTCGGTCTACGCCCGACAACCTCAACAACAGACGCAGACACAATCAACTGGCCTGGAGTGACAGCTCGCGGCGACTGCTTGCAGGGCCTTCTGTACGCACCTCCTCGGCAGCAAAGATTGTCCAACCCAATCCGTCTTCCCTGACTTCTGATTCGGGAAATTTTGTCCTGACGTCGACCATTGTGAACTCTCGAGTCAGCCTCAAATTGCACCAGTGGTGACCTCCGACGTCCACGCTGCCAACACTTACCTTCTGGCGTATATTTACCTTCTCTCTGTTCTGTATCCTGATTTTGCCTTCAACGATGTCTCCCACGGCACCCGCAGATGCTGCTATTTCTCTCCGTGGAGTCACTGTGCCCCTTCTAGAATTTAGGCAGCAGGCCCCAGAACTCTACATTTTCCGCATCGGGGCCACCGTTTTATCTGCCAGGACAACTCAGACTAACTGAGGTTCTTTCCCTCCCCCCGCCAACCCACCATTCTCTCAGAGGTTTAAACATTCTTTTGCGACCACCCCACTGATGCTCCTTACACCGAGCCCCTTCGACTCACTCCAATTTCTGATCGTCAACGCAACCACGTAATCGTAACAGCAGAAGAAGAAGAAGAAGAAGAAGAAGAAGAAGAAGAAGAAGAAGAAGAAGAAGAAGAAGAAGAAGAAGAAGAAGAAGAAGAAGAAGAAGAAGGTTTGAGCGATCACAAGCCCTCTGAACTTCTCCGCTTCAAAGCCCATAAAGGCTTGCCTAATGGCTTGCAATATACACATGACTGACTTGACCGCCTTCGCGCAGTTCAGTATTGGCTAGAATGAGGATGTAATCCACACACCCAAATACTTCTGCCTATCAACATGCTGCAATGGTGTACCGTTTAGAAAGTAATTCGTGGGCTTGGAGTCCCTGTAGTTGCCGACATGAAGAACGTTGTACTTACTCACGTTGGAGGGCATAAGTCAGCGCTTCGACCATTCCCCTAGCCTGCTCAGTATGTGGGATCAAGGATGTGACATCGACTTTAATCACACACAATAAGTTCGTTCTGTCTAATGTCAGAAGTCGAGAGGTGGTGAGAAGTGGCTTATTCTGTACACAGGGCATATTGCCGCCCGTTGGCTGTTTGCTCGTGGTCAAGGGAGAGTGTCCGCTCAGGTGAGCGGATGTCGTGTTGTGAAGTTTTTTTTCGCGGGCGTCACATGTGCATGTCAGCTTGAGGGAATGTGTAGGTGAGTGCAGGACATGTGATTGGATGGTTAAGGGGCGGAATCGGAGGTGCATGATGAGAAGGGCGCGCAGGGGTAACCAGAGGGGAGGTTCGAAGCGAGAGAGAACCTGCGTGCGCAGAGGTGATCCGTTGAAGGCGAGCAAGAGGCGATCCAGCACAGGCCCGAGGGATGGCTGTGCGTCAGCGGAATGCCTGTTGTCGCGGTCATCGGCTGACAAGGAGGCACCGCGAAGGAGAGGGGGGAGGAGGCATTGAAAAGGATGCCACAGGAGTATGACAAAACACGGAGTCCTCTTACGATCGGAGATGTGTACATTGATATTGCATCAAAATGTAAACAATGCTACAGGTTGAGGTCTCCTAAACTTCTGAAAAAAAATTTCACATATACCCACATTTATACTGTACCAGATAGCGCAGAGATATTTGTGCTGACATTTTACAATCTTCAAAAATCTAACTACATATTCTCCTATCGGAATCATTGCAGAAAGTGCATGTTTAAGCCCAGTGGACTGCGTGGACGCAGAGGACTGCTGCGCCATCTCGTAAGCAGTTTCAGCAACGACGCATCTCCTCCCTCCTTCCCAATTGGCCTCAGGAATCACCACATCAACCACATGTTTGGTGCCTACGAGGAGGTTCTTTCCACCAGGATCAAACAATATTCTCCTCATTCCCGCCATCCTCGTCTCTTTCATCAATGATTACGACGTCTTAACATAGATGCAGTGCTTCCATGGGGATTGGTGTTGTGTGTTTTTACGAACGGGATGTGCCGTCACACCCCAAATGCGGCATGTGTTATGAGGTGAGCATCGTCAATAAGGCCTGCCAGATTCCGATCTAGTTCCTCGTGGCTATGCAGCATATCCAATGCGTGGTCTGCCCTAGGGGCAAATGTCGTGGAGATAGTGCTGCATGGCAGTACCGTGTAACCGACAGAGTACCATCCCCCCTCAGACCATGAACACGTGTGCGTCAACAATGCACGGCTCAAGTTTCAGAGAACTGACTGCCTCCCTCCCCCCAGTCTACTGACTGACAAGGTATGTCTGTCCACCCTCTCCCTCCCCCCCCCCTTTATGTTTACCGCGACAGGCTTTGATCCACTGGGTTACGGTTCCAGCACTCCCCCGTCCGCGACTAGGGTGATCCCCAGATCCTGCTACAGGATGCCCGAGTTGGCGTTAATTTGATGCGCTAGCTGGGTCATCTGCCCGTCTCCTGCGTGGGCCGGTCAGAGGGCGCTCAGTCAGTCATCCGGGCAGCATCGGAGTTGAATATTGACGGTTAGTCGCATTTTGATTGGCCAGATCCGCTGATGACGCATTTATTTATTTGTCCGGCAATGTGCGTACTATGAGTGCTGGCATCCACCTGGTGTCAACCGATCTCTTGTCCGACGTCTCGATTTAATGATCTGTGCTCCTTACACACTGTTAATGTTAAGGTCGATAAGTACTGAAATAAAATACGCGATAAATGCAACCAAACAGGTGCTACATTTTCTTTAATATTTGAATGTGTTGTCAAATTTGGTTTTATTGCTTCCCATGTTTCCCAAAGCGTAAATAGGACTGTCAGGTAATCTCAGCCACTGTACCCAGTCTCCTCATTCCCAGACCGCCTGACTCGAGCAAGCCACTGAGTTCGGTTTGGAGAAGAGATGTCGGTGTCCGTCAAAGTCGACTTCCTCTCTTAATGTCTCCACTGTAAACGGAAACTGAGCTCTGCATTGATTATGAGGACTGGCAGACAATTGTTTCTTGAGGTTGTGCAAACTGACGGCATAAAACGCCCCTTCTCAGGACCTAGGGTCAGACTGCAGGCCTCATTTTTGATGTGGCCCTCGGATTACGCTCGACGGATCGAGATCTCCCTCACCCCCCCCCCCAAGTGGAGTCTGATAGGTGGTGTGCAGTTAGGGAATTGGTAATATGTGTGGAAGGCGTATATATGATCTGCAGGGATGATCAGTGAAGAGATGAGGTTGATAAGAAGAATAATCGCACACTTATTTGCGATCAACAGGCTTACTGATGCGATGCGTTCATTTCGGTATAAATGGCCGCCGCTATTGTGATACAATGAGCTAGTCTGTGAACTGGGTCCTCTAGGTGGAATCATGTGATCGCCACGAGGCACGACCTGCATCGGCTGCGCGCAGACTGGACGCAGCACTGGTGACTTTCG